TCTATATCTATATCTATATCTATATCTATATCTATATCTATATCTATCTATCTATCTATCTATCTATCTATCTATCTATCTATCATCTATCTATCTATCTATTTTCTTAAGTTTTCGCGTGTATTTATATGTATGGTACTCAGGTTTGTTCGGGTATTTTCCCACGTCATTATAGTTGTGCTTTTAAAGTTGTAGCGACGCTTCAGCAGAATCTCATCTGCCATCGTCAGGCTTGTGTATTAGGTACGAACCCATCTTACACTTATACTCTCAATCTTACACGGGAAAAGACCTGAACACGCCAAGACCTGCATACCTGTACCCATGAAAATCTACGAAAATAAATATATATATATACATCTACACACACACACACACACATATATCGAGTGAAATTCAAAAGTTTTCCCTACAGGCTCTGTGGGCGTGGCTTGGTATACTTGGTATAATAGCAACCAGGGGCGATTTTTTTACCGATTCAATTCGTCTCTACCACCCCTCCTGAGGTGGGCCGAGGTGGTTTGAATTTCACCCCTGATTTACATACCGTGGAGGTCCTGAATCCTCCCTCGGCTTCTCGCCAGCCCCTCACCCGCTTCCTCCGTCCTCTCAAACCCACTTTTCTCTCTGCCTCCTTGCAGGAAGCCGCGTGGCGAAGCCAAGAAATGCCGCAAAGTCTACGGGATGGAGAACCGCAGCATGTGGTGTACGGCCTGTCGCTGGAAGAAAGCCTGCCAGCGGTTCGTCGATTGAGCTCGCGGGGTGGGTGGGGAAATCTTCGGCCACGCCCTCCGCCTGCCTAGCATGATTTGCACTTTTTGGTGCCTTTCCAGCCTGATCTCCTTGCACCGTCTGCTGCCCCCCCCCCCACAACCCCTTGCCCTGACCCACACATCCACTCGCCCCCTTCTCCAAGATGGATAGGAGGGGGCCTCTTCCCCAATTGTGCCTTGGCTCAGGAAACTGGAGTTTCTGGGATGAACGTGCGGGGGGGACGACGACGACCCCTTGCAAAAGGAAGGCGAGAGCGCCTTGGCCACTCCGGCCGGCTGAAGCATCATCCGGCGGGAGGGGCAGTGGCTTTTGGATCCTCCTGGACGGCCTCTCTCTTCATCCAGGGATACCTGCCAATCCAAGCCTTTGTTGGATTTACCCGCCTCCATCCACACATGTGAAAATTGAAGCCATTGCTTGTCTTTTTTTGGATGGTTGTTTTTTTTTTTTTTTGTTTTTTTCTTAACTTCTGAAATAAGCTATGTCTCTCCTCGCCCTCTTTTCCTCCTTTTACCTGCCACTATGGACCTCCCAACCTTGTCGAGGTTTGAGAAAGCGCAAGTTGCAGAAAGCTCTTCGGAACTGTGATGTGAAGTTATGGATCATTTTTCGTTCTCTGGGATGGAAAGCCAAGCCAAACCAGGTTGTGGGGGGTGGTTTTTTTTTTTTTTTGATATCTGTCTTGCAATATTTTTTTTCCCCCTTTCTCGGTAAGCTTTGGCGTTAAGGACTTCAGAGCGGAAGACAAAAACGGGCGTTGAAAAGAAAAGAAAAGGTCTTTGCTTCCTCTCGCCCTTTTCATTTGCTGGTTGCAAGCAAGTTTCTGTAAAACATCTTTTTTCCACCCCCCACTTGATTTAAATTTCAATTTGGAAGCTGAACGTCCGGCCTAAGAGACGGATAGAACTGAAGACGAGAAAATAACAAACCTGTCGGAACCGTCTGCAGAAAGTCAAAAATTCTTTTTTGCTTTCGGATCTCGGGGAGTTTTTTTCGGGTTTTTAATTTTTTTAAATTCCCTCCCCCCCCGCCCCAAAATACTCCCTTCCCAATGGTGCCTGCCAAAGAAAAGCTCACTGATGGGAAAATGTTTTTCCCCACTGCAAACCGTCTCGTGAATGAAAAGTATTAAGCGTCTCGCAAAGAATAAGCTATGCGCTGAAAATGTAGCCTGACCAATATTGCAACCGGGACTGAATTTGCATCCAAGCCGACTCTTGACAGCGGGGAGAAAAAAAATGGTTGATTTTCCCTTATGTGCAATCCCAGGGGTTTGGTGTTTTGTTTTTGTTTTTAAAAAAATTACGCAATGGGGTGGTGGGAATGTGATGTTTCTCTCCACTTGTCCTCCCTTTTTCCCCGTCTTAGCAGCAAAGCTGGAATATCAGTAAGATTTTCTCACTCTGCTCTTCAATTCCCCTTAAAACAGTGATCCCCAACCTTTTTTACGCCGCGGCCCGGTACCGGCATCAGCTGGGCGCCGCCATCTTTTTTTGATGAAAAAGTGCTTCCGGTGACCTCACCGGAAGCACTTTTTCATCAAAAAAAGATGGCGGCGCCCAGCAAGCCAGCGGCCCGGTAGGACCTGTTCCGCGGACCGGTACCGGTCCGCGGACCGGTGGTTGGGGACCCCTGCCTTAAAAGAAAGAGAAAAAAAAGAAAGCCCAACTTAAAAGCCAATTTTGGAATTAGGATTATTTTTATAAAAAGAAAATCAATCATTGATCTGGGTTGAACTTTGGAAGTGGGGTTAAACTTCATTTAAAGCCATTTATTTCTATGGGTTTGCGGCTCCTTGGAGTGGGATTGGTTGGGTTCTGTCTTGCTGGCAATTTTCGGGGTTCCAGAGTGGCGAGGTTCAGGAGCCAGCATTAAGTTTCTGGGTTTTGCTTTTAAAAAGTCACCAGATGGTGGCACTGTGAGATCTATTGAAGTCTCTTTAGTAACGTATTTGTCAGCTTTGCAAACCTTTAAGATGGGTGGACTTCAACCCCCAGAATTCCACAGCCAGCACATCTTAAAAAGTCACAAAAGGCTGAAAAACACGGCTCTAACCCAAAGTATTTGGCTTTAAACAGGATATCTCCATGCGTCTTTCAATCCTTGCACAAAATGAATTCTATATAAGCCACCCAGCCTCATATTTTTGAGGATAGAGGCTCATAATAGAACGATTGCCAATTTCTTGCACACCTAAAAAAACAAAACCATCTCTTCTAACTCCAATTCCCTCCCGTCTCCATCCCTGTTTAGCGAGCTTCTCTCTAAAAAGGGAAACCTGAGCCGCCGTGCCCGTTCTGCTCTGCCACCAAATTCCTTTACCACTTAACCTCACCGTCATATTTCCGTGCACCTGTCCCCCTGCTTGTTCTTTACGGCACTTTGTGGCACCTGGAGATGCTTTAAAAAAAAAGAAAAGAAAGAAAATTCTCTGCAAACAACAACACCTCTTGCTTGTGTCTTGGGTGAATATTGGTGAAAATACCCAAGGCGGAAGGCCTACAAGCGGAAGACCAAAGAGCCGCAGGTGGTTTGTCCGGCTGCAACCATCCTTGAGCGTTGGCGCAAGCGTCGGATGGTGTTTGGCAGCGTGGACCCGTCAGAAATGAGAGTGCGAAGACCTCCCCCGATTTCTACTCGTTGCACTATTGCAAACTGCACAGGGGTTTTTAAAACTTTTCCCGCCTCCCCATTTTCTATTCTGTCCCACTCAAGCCAATGTTAGCCGGATTGGTATTTTAACCATCATGTTTTTCAGAGATTGATTTGTACGTCTGTTGGGTGTGTGGGGGGTGGGGGGAGGGAGGGAGGGAGGGACTGCCCTTTCTGTTCCCAACACACAACCCTGATGTGTCTTCGGAGGACAGGTTTCCACGAAAGCATTAAAACTTTTTAAAAACCTCCCCTTTTAAAGGTGTTTTTTTTTTTTCCTTGGAGGGGTCCTTGGTGCTCTCTGAGTTTGGTTGTTTTCTTGCAGACGTTTCATCACCCAAACTTGGTACATCATCAGTGCTACCGTGTTTCCCCGAAAATAAGACCCTGTCTTATACTTTTTTTCCACCAAAAAAACAAAGGCACCAGGTCTTATTTTCGGGGATGCCATCCACTGACTAACCTCACTTGCACGTGTCGCCCCCCGGCCTCCTTTTCGCTGTCAGAGGCCTTCAGAAACTCCTTCTGCGGCCGGTAAGGCTTTCCTGAAGTCCTCTGCAGCCGATAACAGAGCTCAGGATCAATCCAGAGCTTTCTTATCAGCTCCAGAGGCCTTCAGGAAAGCCTTGCCGGCTGCAGAAGAAATGGGCTAGCAAGGCAGGTGTGGGGGGTTGCGAGGCCTGGCTACAACTGTCCAAAGATAAGTAGGGTAACTCCACACACACCCCATCTCCACCCTAGTTTAATTTTTACCCGTCCACTCTGGAGTGGGTGGAATCTTAATTAGGGCCTATTTTGGGGATAGGGATTATATTGGGCGCACATGTAAAAATCAAGCTAGGACCTAACTTTCAGGGTATGTCGTATTTTGGAGGAAACAGGGTAGTTCTAGATGATGTTACCTATTTTGGGTCATGAAACGTCTGCAAGAAAACAACCAAGCTCAGAGAGCACCAAGGACCCCTCATGTCAACCCTGAGCTTCAAATATTCTCCTTTATTGGTATTCCCCCCCCCCCCCCCGACTGGGTGTTCTCTGGAGGAATTGGGATGTTCCCAACCCATCTGGACACCACCAAGTTGGGAATGGCTGTGCCAAGCAAACTGGCGCTTCCCTTCTCTTTCCACCCCATCCCACCCATTTTTAAAGCTTTGTAGCCTAGTGGCTGCACCCAAATCGACCATGATTGTTAATTTTGGAGGTAATTCTTGCTGTCTTGACTGCATCCCAAGTGGCTTTTTTTTTTTTTTTTTTGATCCTATTGCAAACCTATTTCGCAGTGTGTCCTATCATGGCAGGGGAAATGTTCTGGGAGAGAGTTGGCCTTGCTATGCTTTGCAAGGATTTTGTAACGAGTGAACGAGTTGTTTCGTTTCTGTTAATTCAGGAAGCTTTCTATGTACACTTATCCCAGATGTGCACGCACACCTACTTTTTGAATTGGTAAAAAAAAAAAAAAATACAGATTATTATTTTTAACTGTATGAGTCTTGTAGGCTTTCCTGTTTGATCGTTGGCCCAGTTGGGCTTAAAATTGGGGATCGAGCCTCACTGTTGCCAGGAGTGTCCCAATCGGCGAGTAAATTCCACAGGGGGGGGGGGGAGACCAGATTCATTCAACAACCGTGTCACTAACTTAACTGCCGCGAGTCGTTTAATAACTGGCAAGAAAGGTGGTAAAATGGAGTCAAAACTCATAGCTGTCTGGCTTAGCAGCGGAAAATTTTGGCCTCAATTGTGATTGTAAATTGAGGACTACCTGTATGGTCAGATCCAGTGGCCAGTGTGCAATAGGACAATAGAAAACCCCATAATTTCCAGCCACAATTGGGAGCAGAATTTCCATTGCTCAGCAGTTTGTTAAGTGAGCTATGCATGGTTTTACGACTTGCCATGGTACAGTGAATGACTGTGGTTGTTAAGTGGACCACACGGTCGTTAAGTGAATCCAGCTTCCCTTGTTGACTTTGCTTGTTGAAGGCCACCTGGGACATAAAGATACTGACATGACCCCGGGATGCTACAACTGTTATACATACATACATATATACATGCTGGTTGCATGGCCATAAGATATTGAAAACAGTCATAAATGCTAGCAATTTACTAAGCTCATGAGCGTGGGGGGAGAGGCGGCAATTTCCAATCCAGATTGGACCATTTTGGGGGGTCTGTTGTAAACTTCAGTTGCTAAGCAACCAGTCATTAAGCAAGGACTACCTGAACGTTTTTTAAAAAAAGAGTTGAGCTGCTGATATTTTAATAGTGCAGTTCTATTCCTAATATGATATGAAATGAGCCCTATTGAATTTGGTAGGGTATACTCCCAGCGAAGTACAGCTAACTCTCAGCTTATGACCACAACGGAGCCCCAAATTTATGTTGCCAAGTAAGACATTGGTTAAGTCAGCTTTGTCCCGTTTTACGACCTTTCCTTGCCACCCTTAAGTGAATCGCTGCAGTTGTTAAGTCAGTTAACCCCGGTTGTTAAGTGAATCTGGCTTCCCCGTGGACTTTGCTCAGAAGGTTGCAAACGGCGATCGTCATAAATATGAGTTAGTTGGGCAGTGTCTGAATTTGGATCACAGGGATGCTGCACAGTTGGTTATAAGAACGAAAAATGGTCAGAAGTCCCTTTTTCCCCCAGTGTCATGGCAACTTTGAACAGTCACTAAATGAACTGTTGTTGCCGCAGCCTGTGCAGATGGCAGCTGAATCGGACAGTGGGGAAGAACGGGGACCAGTCCAGGAGTCTGGAGAGGACTAGGACGAGGGTCCTGCATCCAATGCAGAGATGGGGCCAGGGCCATCTGAGAGTGGGGTGCTGCCTTTGGAATCTGGCAGCAGCAAGGCAGAGGAGCAAGGGGAGCCTGTTCCCAGTGCGCATATGCACAGAGCTGCCAGAAGGCAACAGCAGCTAAGACAAAAGGGGTGACTCAGGAGTAAGGTTGGGAGGTGATTACCCCTCCCATATGGTATAAAGGAAGTGCAAAGGTAGGAAAACCTTTGCAGGAAGCAACGCCACTCTGTTTGGATTCAACCTTGAAGCTCTGTCGACTTTGTATTTCGGTTGTTTTTTTACAGTTCATTTGGCACTTTAGTTCTTGGCAGCAATTCAAAGGAGAGAAAGGTGGGTGCTTATCTCGAGGGACTGTTTGGGACTCATTACGGGCTGGGAATGCACACAATTCCCAGCGTTGGAATAAAATGAGTAGTTTGGACTAGGTGTGTGCTTAATTAATTATGGTCTCGGGAAGCCTTGGTCAGAACAGTTGTAAGTCGAGGACTACCTGTGCAGCATACATTGTACCTTGTATTAAGTTCTTGAATCGGGTTTCAATAATGCGAAGTAGGGAAGACAGTTGACATTTTTGAACTGATGGTTTCTCAGAGTACATTTATTGTAGGAAGAGATGCCACAGGAAACCAATTTAGGTGGTATTAAAAATTAAAAATGGTTCTTCCTCCTTGTGCCATAGCCATCATCGGACGTTGGTGATCACGTTGGCGATAAAAATGGTTAAGAGAGCTAATTCCAGCTCCTGGAGAGTAATTTCCTTCACTCTTTGAGACACTTCCAGAGGCGTAGATTTAAGCTCCCAGAATTCTCAGAGATAATCATGCTGGCTAGGAAATTCTGGGAGTTGAAGTCTGTAGCACAGGTGGCACTTGCCAAGTGCCACCTGTGTTACAGACTTCAACTCCCAGAATTTCCTAGCCAGTTCATTTAGTGACTGTTCAAAGTTATCAGTGGCACTGGAAAAAAATGGATGTAAAATGTCCATTTTTCACTTATGATCTTTGTAGCAGCCCAGTGCTTGGGGAACTGGTTCTTATTTAATGACCATTGCTGTGTTCTAAGGTCATGTGATCCTCTTCTGTGACCTTTTGACAAGTAAAAGGGGAAGCCAGATTCACGTAACAACCTTGTTACTAACTTATCAACTGTGGCAAGAAAGGTCGTAAAATGGGGTAAAACCTCACTCAATATCTTGCCTTAAAACAACATACATTATGGGCTCAATTATGGTCACAAGTTGAGGACTGCCTATTTAGCAATATCCCTTAGACTTACATACTGCTTCACAGTGCTTTACAACCCTCTCTAAGTGGTTTACAGAGTCAGCCTATTGCCCCCGACAATCTGGGTCCTCATTTTACCAACCTCGGAAGGACGGAAGGCTGAGTCAACCTTGAGCCTGGTGGATTCGAACTGCTGGCAGTATTAGCGTGCAATAATGCATTCTAACCAGTACGCCATGGTATTAAGAAGTTGTTCCAAGTTTTATCTAGGCCAGGGATGCCCAACCTTGGCAAGTTTAAGACTTGTGGACTTCAACTCCCAGAATTTGGGGAGTTGAAATCCTCAGGTCTTAAAGTGACCAAGTTGGACACCCCTGATGTTGGCCAACCCCTTACTTGGTCCAAGGACTAAATATAATTATCTCTGATAGTTGCCCATCCAACCTTAGTTTGGAGGATAACTTGTCCCCTGGATTCATACTACTTTGGCTTCCCCCCCAAAATCAACTCAAATTATATACTTTCTCAATTTTTTGAAAGGAGCTACCAAGGGGAAAACAACACACACACAACGCTGGCAGGGTAAGCTACTGTATATATAAACAGAGCAAACCCCACTCCCTTCTAGCATTGATGACGTTACCTAGTTGGGTTATGAAACATCTGCAAGAAAGCAACCCAGCTCAGAGGGCACCAAGGATCCCGCAATCCTCCTTTCCACATACCCCATTCTAGCACTGATGATGTTACCTAGTGGGATCATGAAAGGTCTGCAAGAAAACCACCAAGCTCAGATAGCACCAAGGACTCCATATTAAATGGCAAAGCTCAGGAAATTATTAAAAGAAATACAGTGAAATTGTAAACACTGATACATTTTAACAGCAATGTTCTGATTTATTGAAAGTGACTGATTATTATTTTTTTGTATGCATTGAAGTTAATCCCATGACAAAATATAATCAGACAGGCAGGTGGTGGGCTGCCTAGGCCAGTGTTTGTCATCCTTGACAAATTTTAAGAGAGATGGATTTCAATTCAACTGGCTGTCTGGGGAAT